GCAACAGCGCTACCTAACGGCTTTTACTATTCAACACCAGTTGTTTGGTAAACATTTATCTCTTGATAGCTCAGGTGTTATCATTTGACTGAGGTTCAAAATTACGAGGCCCGTCGCCAATAGCCCTCGTGTTGCTTTATAGTGCGATGTAAAAAAAAAAATTTTTAAAAAATCATTTACTTAGTCTGATTATGGTTTGAAATTACAATTAGTGAATTTAATATTTACTCACTGCATGACAAAAAAAAATCTGAAGTTTTAAATAAGGAACATGTACTGAATAATTCAATTTTTTCGATTCCTACTGTTAGTTCGCTCTCTTCGTATATATTTATTTATTTATTTATATATCTTGTTCAAATTTTCAATAGTTAGTAAAATACTTCCTATTCAAGTAAATTTTTTTAAACTTGTAGTGGATGACACAGTTTTATGATACAGTTTATTTTCTCCAATATTAATTCATTAATTAAATTAAAAAATGAATGAAAAGTAACAAAAATGATAGTCCAACACCATATATAGATAGGAAAATCATTCGTTGTGTCCCTGTAGCGCAATGGATAGCGCGTAGGACTTCTAATTCAAAGGCCGTGCGTTCGAATCCCACCAGGGATGGGCTAATTTCTGAGAATGTGATTTTTTTTACTATACTATTTTAGAAAAATAATTAAATTTAATTAATGTGGATAAATAGTTCTGAACAAAAACAAAAATAGTCCAACACCCTGTACAGAAAGGAAAATTGTAAGAAAAATCGCTTTCTATTTTGTTACTCAATATTGTGATTCTGTCATATGTATATACATATTTTTTTTATATTAATTATAAATATTTAATAAAGAATAACTAAAATAAATATTTTCTTTGTTGACCTAATTTGGAATTGACTTAATTTTTTTTTTATACTACTTGTTTCTTTCTCATTCAAAATTTCTAACCTTTTTAAAAAAAAAAATTGAAAAATAAAGGATTAAAAATTATCGCGAATAAAAGGGGGAAAATACGACAATGATGTCAAAACTGTAAAACATTCGATGCTTCGTATCCTACTTTTTTATTGCTATCATTTTAAGCACGAGGTATATCTTGACAACCTTCTATATCCTATCGAGAATATTTGCAATCGATTTCAATATTTATGATTTTAAATCTACGCCTTGGATTCCAATGCAGCTCAGAATTAATTCCATTACTTTTATGTATTCAGATTGTTCTGGGAAAAAATGTGTGATCACATTTCGTTCAACTAATATATCCCTTCAAGATATTTAATCCATTTTATTTTAGTAATATAAAGATTCTGATTAAATAAAGAATGAATAATTTATAGAGAATCTCGAAGCTCTTCGATCAATTCAAAGGGCGGGAAGAGAACCGATAGTAAAATAAACACTGAATGCACGAATATTCATTTGATAAAGAAAATTTCGTTCAAATAGGTTTTGCATTAATTTCCATTTTTTCTAAGAAACTTTTCTCATTCCCTTTTTAATCGGCTTTAAACCTAATTACACACAGGCCCCTATATGATTCAGTACATAATGTGAAATACACTTTATCTCAAAAAATAAACAACAAACGGAAAAATGGTAAACAAGTAATATAAAAAAAAAATTTAAGTCAATTCCTACTTAGATCAACAAAGAAAAATTTTATTTTAGTTACTCTTTATTAAATAATTGCAATTAATATAAAAATATATATACATATGACGGAATCACACTATTAAGTGGCAATTAATTTTTATTAATTATCATTAAAGTATCGTATTGTCATCCAAAACAATCGTGCAAAAACATTTCAGTTCAACTGAATGCTTTAAAACCTGACGAAAAAAAAAATCCCTTAAAGTTTTGACCCAAGTCCCTAAAAATGAAGCCAACGTGGCTGTATCTGTAATTCTTTAAAAAATTAGTTTCAGTCAATTAATTTTAATTAATTATAATTAAATTATGGTATTGTCGCCCAAAACAATCGTGTATAGAAAATTTCAGCTCAAATGAGCACCTTAAAATGTGAGAGTAAATTCTCTTAAAGTTTTGACACAAGTTGCCAAAATGGACGCTAAGTCGCCAAAAATGATGCCAACGTGCCTCGATTTGCAATTCTTTGAATAATTAGTTTTAAGCAATTAATTTTTATTAATTATTATAAAGTTACCATATTGTCATCCAAACTAATCGTGTACATAAAATTTCAGCTCAATTGAGCGCTTTAAAATGTATTTTATTAACGACTGAAAATTTGAACAAGATATAGAAAGATTGTGAACTAATAGTAGGAATTGAAAAAGAGGTATAACTTTCTTTTTTATCAGAAATATTGTGCTTTCTCTCTCTCTCTCTCTCTCTGTCTATTTCCTTTTTTTATTATCTATATTACTCTATATCCTCTATAATATCAAGGTAATCTGTAGTATAAATAGGTAAATATTTGTTTTAATCAAGTGCAGAATATTAGAATAAAAATTAATATTAGAAATATATTCACTATTTTTGCTTAAAATAATTAAAACACGTCAATATATCTAAAAATATAGAGATATTATTAATAATCTAAACATTTTTAAGAAAATGCAAGTAGAAAGCTGAACTATTGCTTGCAAGTCTAAATCGCAGTAAATTTTGCATATATATATATACATAGAGAAATTGCTATTAGAATTAACATATATATATAATTTTCCTATAGTATTAATACAATAAAAGTTTTAAATTGATGGAATTTTATAACATTATTCGGATTATAATCGTTATGATTTTCCTAAAGAGCCTTAATTATAGCATTATTATAGAGTTAAATAAATTCTCAAAATCACAGTTTTTATTTTTAACGTCAAAATAATTTACAAAATTTTGTATAATAGTTTGTAATATTTTACCAGAAGTAGTGATGAGTTTTGATGATTGTTTTATGAGTCATTGATAATTGTACGAAACTTAACAGCATTTTTACTCAAGTTAAGGATTTAAAAAAATATGAGGAAATTTAATTTCTGCTAAGTGTAAATTTTATAAATAGCATTTATACGATTTCTAATTCCTCTATAACATAGAGGAATTATATGTGAAAAAATCCGATGTGAATAATAATCTCGGATTTATTAATCTTTACAGAAAGAACATTGTTCTTCTTAAAGTAATATATTAGAATTACGTTAAATGCATTTTTTTTCTCTTAATCCTAAAAAAATAATCTCAAAAAATGTTTTTAAACAATTTTTAAGGCAGTATTAGAATTCATATTAAAGTTAAACCTTATCATCCTAAAATTTAACTTTCAAGTAATTTCTATAACATTTTTTTTATTAGCGTACTATATGGTACAATATTATACAAATAAACAAAATCAGTATAGAATTAAACAATTAAAAATATTTTTTTATTTTCTATTCGAAACTAAAATTTAACATTTCAAAATTCGATAAATTTACATATGTTAAATATTCTAATAGATTTATAAATGCGAATCAATTTTATGATAAACGAATGCAAAAACGATACAAGATCATTTATAGTAGTAATGATTTAAATTCTTAGAGTCCGAATTTACAACTACTGTGAAATATTACCAATAAAAGTTTTGTGTATTTTCAAACTATTTATTGAAATCAACTTTTCATTTTTAAGCAACAGAGTATTAAATAGAATTACCAGCGATCAGAATGGCTCTTCCAGCAACACTAAAATCCATTGTAAAAGAATAAGAATAAGAACTTAGAAATAGTTTTAAAAAACTTCATCCAGGACATCACACTGAAGGAACAGAAATGCCATTAATGTTTGATACAATGGGGTTTATGGTGTTCCATAAAACTAATTCATGGTAATGCTAAGGGCACTTGCTGACAGGATATACTACACGAAACTGAGTTGGAAAATAATCAATGAAACTATCGAATCAGTGCCAGACGAGATGAGACAAACTCGGATGCAGAGGCTACAGACAAAACTAATTCGATGTTTTTATGTCTTCCTTTTCCAGTCTTCTGATTTCACTAATTGGTACTTTAGTGCAGTATTTCGTTCGTCTATATCCCATTGAGTCCTCCATATCCGACACTATCAATTACAGATGCTCCACCAGCAGCTTGTTAATTTAATCCACTGTATTTTTTGTGCTTAGCATTCCTCATTGTAGGTTCTGTTCCTTCAGCAACTTGTCTCTTCAAGCTTTCAACAGATCATAATCTGTTTCCGAAATCTGCAGTTTATTAGCAATACCAAGGCTTATATTTCTATCTCCACAGTTTCTTTCTCCTGCAGCATATGAATTTGCTGCAGCAGTATCATGCTTCTTGCACTAGCTTCACCTCATCTTCTACTCTGACTTCCTTGCACTGCAACATTCGCTGTTGCTTTAGCCTTGGGCTTTTCGTCCAATTCTGCAAGGTCGCCAGACGTCGAAGAGGCGGGTGATAATTCTACACTTTATGATCAACTATATCTTCCATAATCAACTATTTGACTAGAAACACTTGTAGATTTGGTTTGATACTTTAAGCAGATTGCATCCCATAGGTGTTGCTGCAGAGCCTTTCCATTCTTGGTTCCACCACCAGAAGTGTAAGTTGGTGCTGATGTTGTTTTCGATGCTCCCCTTGGCGTGTTATCCCTTCTAAAATATCATATGCGTGGGAGATGCTTATTGAAATGTAGCTTGATGTAACATATTCATGAAATTTCTGATTCGATTGACAAAGTCTTCATCATCCAATGCTTGATTGGTCTGGTAGAACCCTTTCAACGAATCCGCCTTTGCGTAGATTCTTGATTCTACGTTTTTATGTCCAGTGCTTAAGGAAGACATGTCACTCATTTGGTTGGCAGTCATGGATGCAGGAAAGGCAAACACGCTCTGGATGAAGAGTGCAAATAAGAATGTAAGCGCAAATCGAAGCATCTTTGCAATGGTTTTTCAAGAACGAATGATTTTTTCGTGGGTTTTAAGCTTTTAATAATGTAGGTTTTACAGTTGAATCAATATTTTTGCATCTCTAACTTTGACGTATGTTTGTTCGTCAAAGTGAATTATACAATAATCTTGAGAATTCTACAGCTGATTCGCGTAGTAAAAATATTTACGTGGAAAAAAATATTGTCAGGATCGGAGAGAGTTCCTCACTACAAAGAAGATATTATCAATTTGCATCTATAACTTAAATAAAACAAAAACATTTTATGTTTCTAATTGAAAAAAGTCGCTCATTAACTGGTATTTTTAATTTAGTTAAATTTTCATAGCGTTTTATTTATAACTACTCTTGTAATATATATTGAAGAGAAATATATAACTTCATAAAGTAAAGTTACTATTTGTGTAGTTCTAAAGGTTATGATAGTTAAAAGTTATGTATTTTGTAACAATGATAGTGATATAAAAGACCTTTGATTGCTACATTAAACTACATTAAATAATGTAGTTTTATAATATACTTATGTACATTTCATTTTTAGTATCACATATTCCACATAAAAGATACTATAAATTGAGTTCTATGTGTTTCTGTTGACAAAACTAAGCTCTAGTGTTGTTATGGGATCAAAAATATTGATTTTATCAATAATGTAAAAAGATGTGTTTAATATTCAGCTTTCTTCCTGTGATTGTAGTAT